CGTGGAATTAAAACAGTTAAGAGTTTTTGTTTAAAAATGTCAATATGCAAGTTGGCAAAGGCTGCCATCTTTTCTTATTTCCTTGGCTGGGGTTTCAGAGATTATTTATCTAGCACTGAGTGAAGCCCAGTCTCCAAGCCCCTCCCCTTTCCTATTTATTACCAAGCTGCTGCAGTGCAGTGTTGAAATAGCTGATCATTTAGATCATTAAAATCAATCCAATGACCAAACGGTTCTCTACATTTTAGAAAAATGGCAAAAAGTACAGTATTAGATTGCTATTAACTTGTTCTGGGTTTTCTCTTCACAGCTGCCAGGAAAGTCATTTGGTAAAATTGATGAAACCAGTATGCCAAGGAGGAGAGGAAAGAGCAGAACAATGTAAACAAGGCGAGCTCAGAGGAGAGGGCAATGTTTTTGTTGGGAATGAAGTGAGATGCCACTGGGAGAGGCAGAAGAGGGTGGATAGGAGGAGAAATGTTGCATTTGGTGAGCATACTGTAATTTAGGGTATGGGAGGTTCAGTGGCAGGATGAAAGCAATCGGAATGCAGAAACAATAGAGAACGAAGGAAGAGAGAGGAGGCAAGTTATCCATGTGCTCCTAACAGGCTGCCTGCTTTGGTCACGCTGCTGAATTAATCCAAGAAGCATCCCTGCCACAAGGATAAAAAGCTAATTGAGGATTTCGGTAAATAAAACTCAATTGCAGGGAATGGTGAGAAGGAGTGCCGAGTTGCTTGTTCAAAACAATTTTAAAGGAAAATAAATGTCTCCACTTTTGCTCAATAAAACCAAGAATATGTAAAAATACAGACATGTATTTTCTTATTTACTATAGTGGCCATACATATTCTCTCCCTCTAAATAAAAGCCGTCTTCCCTTTACAGAACAACATTTTCCCCTAATATTGTTCAATGATTTCGTGATTAGTCTAAAAAGAACCTCAGTTTGTGGAATCACAGAGTGCTGACAGAATGAATTTTAATGTGGGGTTTCTGCCACTGTGACACTATTTCTAATTCCTCCCAATATCCTATTTAAAGTCACATTTAGCTCACACAGCTCATGCTTCCACAGAAAAGGGCAAGAAAAACGGTTAAGTATTTGTTTGTTCTTATTTATTATATAGTAAGTCTAGTAACATTTCAAGTATAGCAATCACTTAAGCACAAGGGACTTAAAAAATAGCATTTAAAACATTATAAATAAAGCAAATGTTCTGTGAAAGAGAACATGTACTTCCTTGGGTATTGTACGTAGAAAATGATAAGGTATAAGAACCACTGAACTGAACAGAAGGCCAACACTAATCTAAAGGAAGGTCCTTCTTGAGATAAGTTTTAAATTTCATTTACTCCATGCTTCATATCCTACTTGACAGAATCTTAGATGCAGACAGCATTTAGCTGGAGCCCTGGGTTTACATGAAAGCATTAGGCTTTTTGAATGAGAACGGCAGCCACTTTCTAAGAATGGCCCTCAATTATCCCACCTCCTGGTATTCTCATTTTTATATAGTTCTATCCTTCTCTATTCTGGTGTTGGTCATCAAGTGGAAGTGACAGCATGTCACATTTACAACCAGATATAAAAGACTGTGGCTTCTGTCTTGAGATTTGTCTCTCTCATCTCTAACTCTTGGAGACTCAAGCTATCATATCTTGAGCAATCTGATGGAAACTGATGCCTGTCAACAACTACCTGAGTCACTGTGACAGCAGCTGAGCCTTGAGACTGCTGCAGCCCAACTAGTGAGTGACCCTTAGCCAGAACTCTTAACCAGTATGGGGGAACCTGTATCTTTTACATAATGAAGGTCACTCATGGAGAGATACATCATAAGATTCAGTAGGAAAAGACTGCATGATCACAGCAGCACAATTTCAAGGAAGAAGACATGAGCATCATTAGTGATATTGTTCTCCAACATTCCCAGTTCTTCAAGGGATGTGGTGAGATTGCACTTCCCTGCCTCTTTGAAGTTGCGCATGGTTGCCTTACTTTGACTAATGAAATGTAAGCAGCCCTAGAAATGATAATATGAATATTAAGGGGGAAACTGTTAAGAACCAGTGTATAATGTCATTTGCCTCTACCACAGTGACTGGGATCATCTCAGACAGCATAAACTCCCATCAATTATGTCCCTAAGTGAACAGGAGAACCTTCCTTTGTCCTCCACCAACCTATGATGAGGAAAGCATGAGAGAGAAATAAACTTCTATTGTTTAAACAACTGAGATTTTGGTTGGTTGATACAATAGGATTGAAAACCAAAAGTAAAATCTCTAAGAATTCACTGTATGGAAAAAAGAAAACTGAAATGAATGACTAGAATCACCTACAAAGGTAGAGGTTCTTGAAAAGAGTGGTGACTCAGGCTAAGTTGTGATTGGCATTTGGACTCTCACAGTCATATTCTGGAAAGATAAAGGTTGTATGTGAGAACTAAAAGAGTTGTTTTCACTAGATGTCTAAAATTTGAGAGCCCAAGAAACCAATTTGTTGGCTTCCCTGAAGTAACAAGAAGGGAGAAGGCATCTTCCTAGTCCGCAGGTGAATCACCTAGGGAAGTGCCCTAGAAGGAGTACAGAACTCTAATACAGTAGCTAGAATAGACATAGACATGCTAGTGTCTGCCACTAGGCAGTCAAGAGACCAGTGAACACGGGTTGAGGTTACTGGGAGAGCAGAGTCCAACATGGCATCTGCTCATATCACAATGGACATCTACATATCACAATGCAAGGCGTGTCTAAGAATCTCAAAGAGTAAAAATGTGATAAAAATTGTGGAAATCTCTGGGACTTATGCTTCAGAAAATGGGCACAGAGCTGACGAGATAAGATAATTTTAATATCACCTAATTTATAGTCATTGTCTTACAGATTAAATGCCTAAAACTTATTACTTTACTATTATTCATTAATAATTAGTATTGCTTTGTCTATTGTAATGAGCCATCCCATGTATACAATGCATCTGTGGTATTATATAGTTCTACCTTGTTCAGGTCTCGATAATTTAAAATTTTTTTTCACAAGAGATTTGTTTTAGCCTGGAATAATTTAATCTAGTCTCAAACACCACCTATTATCAGACACTATATAAATAACATTATAACATATTCATTGTTTTGAGATACAGTGGCTTATAATTTAGCGTAAAATGACATAAACAACTAAAGAGAAGATGTAAGTCATTCTACTGAATTAACATTTGGCACCTTTGCCTTTTGGATGGGCTCAAGTCTCAGACACTCATTTAAATATACCATGATGAGAAGCTACATAAATAAGGGGAAAGGAGGGATGAATGGAGATTTTGAGTGATGATAAAATTAAGTTAGTAAGGCTGGAGAGAATTCAAATGTGACATTTTTATTTCAACATGAGAGAGACTTAGTAAAAGCAGAAGGCACAAAATCAGTGGATAAATACAGAAAAAGCAACAGTACCCTTTTATTTTCCCTTCTAACATACATCCTTGTTGGAAAAAAAACAAGAGCTGGGCACATAATGCCCCCTAGAAAGCAAGAAAAAAAATGGGACCAAGACCACAAACCCAAATGCCTTTACAGAAGAATCACATAAATATGACAGTCAAGCACTTCGTGAATTGTTCCTGAACCATCGGGGTAGCTTTTACATCAATTTAGTTGTCATAGTCCACTTAGGCTACTATAACAAAATGGCACAAACTGGATGGCTTATAAATAAGAGAAACAGTATTTTGCTTACAGTTCTAAATGCTGAGGACTCTAAGGTCAAGGAGCTCTCAGATTTCTCAGGGCCTGTCAGTGAAGGTTCTCTATCTGGTTCAAGAACAGCCATCTTTTTACTGATTCCTCAAATGCTGAAAGGGTCTCTCTAAGGCCTTTTATGAGGACAGTAATCCCAGTCATTAGGGCCTTAGTCCCTGACCTCAGCTCCCAAAGCTCTCCTCAAAACATTATTTTGAAGGTAATGATTTCAACCTATGAATTGGGGAGGGCACAAATATTCAGATGACAGAGTAGCTTTATTATTCATGGCTGCTGTTCTTTCCTCAAGCACCCTTCTGTTTTCTCTTCTAGCACTCATCACAACCTGCCTTTATATATATTTATCTCTCTTTCTACCTCCTTGTCCCTCCAACTAGAATACAAACTTCATGAGAGTAGGGTTCATTTTCATGGCTGCCAAAGCAAACCTTCTGTAGCATACACACTGCCTCACACATAGTAACTGTTCCACAAATATTTGTGGATTGAACAATTTGGGACAGGCATAAGAAAAATCAAATATTCTTTAGCCTCATTTATTATAAGCCCAATGATGAAACTGTCCTGATGTCTCCTTGGCCTACCTACCATTTTAATTTAAATGAAATCCTACAGTGAATTGTAGCCCAGTAGCCATATTACCTTTGTAAAAACTCATTGATATTTGGGGTTTTCAATCCATTTTGGATAATATAACAGCCAAATCTATCCACATCACTAAATCCAATCAGCCAGACTGTCATTCTTACTCTGATGCTATTTAGAATGTGCAATGAGCCACTGGATTCTACTTCCTAAAAACTAATTTCCCTAGAGCTTTTTCTCTATTAGTTTATTAATGCCCCTGAGGTCAGAAACTATGATTTCTTTTCTTCTGAACAGCACAATGTCCCATTAAAACTTCTTATAAGCCTGGGTATTTCTAAAGAAATTCAAGGAAATTTCAAGGATCATGAAGGACCTTTGGTTTGATATCAGCTATATTTAGTGCTTTGAGAGCAACAGCACAGTGAAGTTCATTAATAACCCAGAAACAATTAATTCATTATGCATTTTGATCTTTCACTGACACTTTTTTAAGGTTGGGGAGAAGAGATTTGAGCAATCTTTTTAAAAATGCATGTTTTCATATTTTTTTTTTTACATTTCAACCAAGTTGAATTTTTATATTTTGATATAAATATAGGCAAGTCTGATAATCTAATAATTTCTTCTCTATTTCCTGCTTGTACCCAAGGAGAAGAAGATGGAAATAATCCCTCATTACTCAACAAATATTCATCGGCTGTCTCCATGTTCTAGAAACAATTATAGAGGCTTGGAATATAGCAGTGAGCTATTAACCAAGAGTTCAGAGACAAAGTAAGGGAAACAAGGGACATGAAGGTTTTGTCTGAGTAATTGAAAGTATTAAGTCCCGGAGGCAGGACTGTACTTAGAGAGCTGAAGGAATAGAAGGAGAACAGTGTAAATGAACCACAGCAGGAGAAGCAGAAGCTGAATCAGTGGGGTAATAGGAACCCCAAGGAAAAGGCTGTTGTAAGGATTTTCATCTTCATTTTGATGAAGAACCAAAGTTATGGAAGTTCTATGTAAATGAGTGACTTGGTATGAGATAGATAATAGCAGCCCCACTCTGTTCATTTGCGAAGAGGCTGTACCAGGCAGTCAATGGAGGTGCTGATAAACTGTCATACTCCAGATTTTCAAAGATGACTGGCTGGCTTTGGGGGACAGGATTGAGAGTGAGTGTGTGTGTGTGTGTGTGTGTGTTTGTGTGTGTAGGTAAAAACAATGAGAAGTGAAAGATAAGTGCAAAGTTTAGTCTGAGATGGACAAGTCTACAGGAGAAGTGGGTTCTATGTGTGTTGGGTTTCAGGTAAAACACTCCTCCATTATTTACAGTTTTCCTTTCTGTGTTTTCATTTATCCATGGCCAACTACAGTCTGAAAATATTCAAAAGAAAATTCTAGAAATAAGCAATTTATAAGCTTGAAATCATGTGCCATTCTGACTAATATAATGAAATCTCGCACTGTCTTGCTTTGTTTTACCCATGACAGGAATCACCTCTTTGCCTAGAGTATCCAAACTGTATATGCTACCCACCACCTAGTCACTTAATCACCATCTTCGTCATCAGATCATCTCTTGTAGTATCATGGGGCTGGTATTCAAATAATCCTTGCTTTATTTAATAATGATTCCAGAGCAGAAGAATAGTGGTACTGGTAGTTTGGATGTGCCATGCAGAAGGTATACATATCAATTCTCCAAAATGAATGCAACTATTATATATCACAAACCTATATTAATACAAATATCATTAAAAAGAAGCCATAAACTACTTCTTTTAAGTACTGTATAAAGTAAAAAAGCACCTTGATTTAATGAAGGAAGAAAAATTTTCTATTCAAGGCTGCTATGTTCTATAAAAAGAAGTAATCCATTTTTTTCTGTCAAATTATGAAATAGGGTAAAGAAATTCATTTCAGTTTTCTTGTCACCCTTCAAACTGCAAAAGTTACAGCCACAGTGGATGGTGTGTGCTTAGTTAAGATGGAAAAGACATTAAAAGTTTGTATGTATCTATGAATGCATGTATGTATAGGAAAAAAACACATGATCTGAATTCAGAAGAGCGGTCCAGACTGGTGATAGGAACTTTACAGAAAATGGCATACAGACTTAAAACAGGGGATTAAATGAGATATAGGAGATAAGTAGAAAGAGGACATTATGGTGTTCAGACTAAACTAGAAACATGTCAATGCTAGGATTCAGGGGAGCTGAGGAGCAAGCAGCAAAAGAGGATGAGATGGAGTGACAACAGAAAAAGGAGAAAACTAGGAGAATGAAATTCCAGAAGCCCTACTGAGAAGACCATTTCTTCTCTGAGCAAAAATATGAAGACATTGCTGTGTAATTTGTATTTAATTGTAGGGTTCACGTGCCAATAAACTTTCTTCTGGCTTAACATTATACTTAGTTTGCATATGTTGGAGAGGTGAATAATTGATGAGAGAGAAACAAAAGAAGAAGAAATTATGAAATCTCCAAGAATATCTGATTTTACATCTGTGAACCAAAATTAAGTTATATTAAGACAGCCAATAATTATGTCAGGAAAGCTAAACAATCAAAATTACCTTAATCATTGGCTCAATTTTTTAAGGGAATGATTTGAGTTAGAGTTCATATATTAAGTGATAAAAACATTTGCCATTCTTGTTTTGCAACATACTTATATAAGTTAAACTTATTTCCACTCTACTCCATAGTTAAAATAATTTCTGGCCTATTTCTTATTTGCTGGCCTGATAAAATTGACCTGATCTTGGGGTACACACTAAGTTCAAAGAACGCACTCCACTTAGATTAGCTCCATGGGAACAGGCCATTTTAAAATGCAAATATGTAGAGTCACAAAGAAGAAGAATCATGCTGGAGTAAGCAATTTATTTTTGGAAAAAAAAAACTAGAACTGAATTTTATGCCAATTATAATATTCAAGCTTTGTGTTAGGATAGGAATTATGATTTTGTTTTGTCTTGGTTTTTAAATAAAGCCCAAATCAAAGAGTTCTTACAAGGATGGGAAAAGTGAATTTAAAAATAAGATAGAGCTATGTGGGATATGTGCAGTACTGTTTCTATTGTTGTACACAATCATAGCTCAGAACTACAACACAGTTTTCATGACTACAACTTCAGCAACAACCTGCAAAGTCACTTGCAGTCCTTTTTCCCCTTTAAAAAATAGAAATAATAATAGAAGTCCTATTTATTCAATCAGATGAGATATGTTTTAAAACTTTTTTAAAGCCCCAAAATATCACAGAACACCAAAAAATTAATTCAGTGTGACTTTCTTATAATGGGTGAACATTTAAAAAGTACCAGTTACTTGGAAGAGATTTATCTTTAAATACATCTTCAGGCCACTGTCCCAATATAAATGACTTGAATCATTAATGTTGAACATTCTCATTCTAGCCCTGTATTCTTTATCATTTACATATATATTATATATATGTTATATATATGTTATATATATGTATATGTTATATATGATATATATATGTTATATATATATGTTAGAACAGAATTTTGAGTTTAGAAGTTATCAATCAGCTCCATAATTTCCTAGGTTTATTAGATGAAATGAAATTGGCCCCCAAGATGCTTGAATTCTGCAGTCCTAGTATACTTTGATCCTTTCATTTAAAGACCAAGCCTTGCCAGTTATGGTGGCACATGCTTGTAGTCGCAGCACTCAGGAGGCTGAGGCAGGAGGATTGTCATGAGTTCGAGGTCAGCCTAGGCTACATAGTGAGTTCAAGGTCAGCCTGAACTACATAGCAAGACTTTGTCTCAAAACAAACAAACAAACAAAAAAACAAAGCCTAAATGGCATCATAAACTTTAAGGTTTCTTAGACATTCAATATCTCCCCATATTTTGATGAGCCTAGTGTAAATGAATCATAGGAACATAGATTAAATTCCCCATGAAATACTAATTTTATAAGACATCCAAAAAAAAGGTGTTTTTGCAAAGAGTCAAGTATGTTTTGATGACTCAGTATTTTCAGCATACAGTACTCAGTGTCCATGGTCTCAGTCAGCATATTCAGCACAAGATAAGTGACAAAAACTACCCACACTTGCTTGGGTGTCACCAATATTCCTGTTGCCTTGAGTTGTGGGAAAGAGAAGCTCTTCATCAGTTTAGCTCACATTTTAGTCTCAGTGACACAGGGCAATCTGACCATTTGATTTTACTATGGACTTATTTTGAATATAATCCTAGTACACTTAAAGTTGTTTTTACTGTCTCCCTTACACTCCTGACTAGCTACCTATTAAGTTAAATAGAAGTGAGTTTATGACAAAAGAGCATCTTATAGCAAAGTACAGTTTCTACTATATATAATAAAAGTTCACAAAATGGTATCCAGAAGTCTAGAGTAAGTATATTTTCTCTAAACTTCTACAATCTATCCTAAGGATAAGGCAAGCAATAAGGCAACTGCCAATGCACGTGAAACATGTATACAAACATGCTGTTTTAAAATAATAATCAAGACCATATTTTATGCTATGATTTATAACTAGGTTGTTCCCCAAAAGCCTAATGCTTTTGGAAGGTAGTTGGATATGGGGGCACTGTACCTATTGGTGCATTTATACACTGTGAGCTCAGGAGCTGAGTGTGTTGTTGGGAAGTGGAGCTTGATCAGAAGTAGGTCATGGCAGTGTGACCTTGAAGAGTGTATCTCCCTCTTTGGCTTCTCTCTCCCTCTTTGCTTTCTGACATGGGATGAGTAGCTTTCCTGTGCCTGGCCCTTCCACTGTGCCATTTTCTACACTGGAACCAGTTGACCACAGACTGAAACCTCTAAAACCATGAACCAAAATAAACCTTTTCTCCTTTAAGTTGCAGGTAGAGGGTACTGGGTCTTGGGACAAGGAGAAAGTGACAAAGATACATTCCAATGGAATTTCAAAAAGGAAGCCATTTCCATCAGCTTGATTATTTCACTTTATACACAAGCCAACTGTTTTTCCATATTAAAGTTTTAAAGAATTTAGCACATTATTTTTCTGTTTCAGCACTTTCTTTCCATTTTGAAAATGATCCAAGTATTGATGTGACCAAGTCTATGACTCCCCAACCCATTAGAAATTATAACTGTGTGATAAATATAATGTAGCAATTTCCCAAATTGGCAACTCACATTGAATTCAAGTATAGGAGTTACCTACAAAAATCTATTTCCAAGTCATCACATCACATGTCTGCCTCTTTGATAATGCTGTACTACCAGCAGTCCTCTCAAATGGATGAATGAGTCACTGGTCTTGTTTTTTCAAGATTTAATCATAAAGATAAAGTTCAACAGCTAAAGTTAACCTCAAATTTAATACACTAACTAGTTTCAGACAGACTTGGAAAGCATGGATTCTACTACTGTTTATTTTTTGTGCTTTTTGCCACAAAGTTGCTTCCATGGAGATTTTATTCTGTTTTTTTTTCCTATTCTGTGCATTTCTAAAATTAATGTAGGGGAGGATAGATACATATTTCCAATTATGATAATCAAGAGTTTAATGTATTGATATATTACTTAGACCTAATAAGACATAATAGTCTCCTTTTTTTTTTCTTTTGGTACTGGGGCTTGAACTCGGGACCTTATGCTTGTGAGGAAAGTGGCAGAACCACTGAGCTAAATCCCTGGCCCAAGATATAACAATCTAAGATTATGTGTGTTAATATTTTCATCTAAGATTTTGCACTTTTATTATTTTCTTCTATTAAATTTTCCATCAATTTTTATATTTCCAAATGCTGAAATTGTCTTCTCATTAAATATCAATATTATAAATTAAAACTATAACTTCTAACATGCCCAAAAGTCTCATTCTAGATAGGTAGACATCAAATTTTGCTGGTAAAGAGTGCTGCTATGACTAAAGATCTCCATGCCCTACCTGGAAACTTGGAGAGCTAAAATTAAAAACTAGTGTAGCAGGTCTGTACAATGAAAGTCACTTACTTACTTCTCTTTTCCAGCCACCTCAGTAAACTTTATACTATAAGGACCCTGAAGAGATTAAAGGTAATACTGATATACAAATACCTGACAATGATAGTGTCACAGATAAATCTGGAGTCTGATAATCCTTCACTAATTCACCCTTGTTATTTATTGAATCCATATGCTGAAATATAAGTACATCAAAATATAAGAAATGTTGCCATATTTGAGTTCAGGTATAATTAGTTAAAATGACTTCATACTGGAACAGATTTGGCTCTTAATCCAGTATACCTGGTGTCCTTACAAAAAGGTCATCAAGCGAAGGGACAAACATATATGGAAACAATCTCATGGAAAAGTTGCCATTATGATGTCACAAACAAAGGAATTACTAGAAGCTAGGAAGGAGGAATGGAAGAATTGTTCATTAGTTCCTTCAGAGAGAGGATAGCCCTGAAAGACGCCTTCAACTTGGACTTTTCACCGCCACATCTATGAGACAATACATTTCAGTCGTACTACTCAGTCTGTGGTACTTCGCTACAATAAACCCTAGAAAACTACTACCTGTAGCATTCATTTCTCAGCTCCTTGAGTCCTGACTTTAGTTCCTATCATGTCAATGAAATGCTTGACTCCAAGGAATGCCTTCTTTTATGGCAGCCAGCTCATTCTACTAGTACATTTTGACTTTTGGCCACCTGTAGTTTCTGTCTTTAAGCTTCTTTTCATTGTTACTTTTTCATGATTTTTTTTTTTTTTTTGGTACCAGGGATCAAACTTAGAACCTTGCGCTTGCCAAGCAGGCACAGCACCACTGAGCTAAATCCCTGGCCCTATCATTACTTTTTGTTCTTGCTTTTGCTAACAGTTCTGAAGAAAGAACTTCTCATTTCATTTCTTTGACGATCATTTTCTGTATGTCATGCAAACAAAAACAAACATACATAAAAGCCACCATCTATCATGAATAAGACTTTCTATGTCCCAAGAACAAAAATTCAGATGGGAGGCAGAAGCAGTCAATGAGAACTTCACAATCTTGCACATGCTTTAAGAATATGTAGGAAGTTCTCTTAAGTGCATTCTGCAGGTTTAGGTAAGTATTCCTTGGAAAGTAATATATGGGATTGAACATATGAAGGGATTAGCTAGACAAAGCTGGAAACTGGGAGCCAAGGAATGGGGTATTAGACCAAAAAGGAGCAATAAAGGCTCACAGATAAGAAGAAATAATGAAAACTCATGAAATTGTGACCAGAACCGTGTGCAGGATGCAAGGGAAAGTCTGATAAGAAAGTGTAACAGAAGTCTTGTACCGATGGGCTGTATCTACATTATGTTATAAGGTCTAGACTTTATTCTGAGAGCAACAGTCACTGAAAAGTTTTAAGCAGTGAATATATAAAA